AGCTTGGAGTCGGAGATCTGGATTGTGTTCGCATCTATAGAATGCGAGGAGAATTTAATGGTGATATTCAGTTCGCATTTGGTGACACAAGTACGTGGTTGATGATTTTTGGTTGGTTCGCATTTGAAATTAGTGGGTTTCGCATTTGGGTTCGTATCTGGGTTTCTCAAACAACTGAAATGCGAATATGAGACAACTGATTAATTTCTCAGTTAATGCGATGATGCGAATGAACTCAAAGACGGATGGATGCAAGATGCGAAGAATTTGAATGAAAATGCGAAGTTTTTAATGTATAAATGCGAATTGGGGAAGAAAGCTTAGAGTTTCGCATTTGGCACCTGATCTTTTCAAGAAATAATATAAGTGGTCCAACTTCGCAAAATGGGGTCATTTAATCAGAAAATCGATCATTCTTCAAATATGACATTTAATCAGAAAATCGATCTAAAAATGAGACATTTGGTGTTTATCGATTTTTCAGGGTCGACGGGTTGTATGAAAAGCGAAGGCTGAGTAATTGAAAATTAGAGGATCGATGGTTGCTACTAATTGCTTGTAACTGGTATTGGTTTCATATCGATGGATGTGGATTCGCATATGAAATCAATTGTGTTCGCATCTATGAAATCAGTTCGCATATGACATCAATTGAGTTCGCATTTGGTTTTGTGGGTCAAAACAGTTCGCATAAGAAGTTCACGATTTGTTTGAGGTTAATTGATTTTGATTTCGCAAGCTTGGAGTCGGAGATCTGGATTGTGTTCGCATCTATAGAATGCGAGGAGAATTTAATGGTGATATTCAGTTCGCATTTGGTGACACAAGTACGTGGTTGATGATTTTTGGTTGGTTCGCATTTGAAATCAGTGGGTTTCGCATTTGGGTTCGTATCTGGGTTTCTCAAACAACTGAAATGCGAATATGAGACAACTGATTAATTTCTCAGTTAATGCGATGAAATGCGAATGAACTCAAAGACGGATGGATGCAAGATGCGAAGAATTTGAATGAAAATGCGAAGTTTTTAATGTATAAATGCGAATTGGGGAAGAAAGCTTAGAGTTTCGCATTTGGCACCTGATCTTTTCAAGAAATAATATAAGTGGTCCAACTTCGCAAAATGGGGTCATTTAATCAGAAAATCGATCATTCTTCAAATATGACATTTAATCAGAAAATCGATCTAAAAATGAGACATTTGGTGTTTATCGATTTTTCAGGGTCGACGGGTTGTATGAAAAGCGAAGGCTGAGTAATTGAAAATTAGAGGATCGATGGTTGCTACTAATTGCTTGTAACTGGTATTGGTTTCATATCGATGGATGTGGATTCGCATATGAAATCAATTGTGTTCGCATCTATGAAATCAGTTCGCATATGACATCAATTGAGTTCGCATTTGGTTTTGTGGGTCAAAACAGTTCGCATAAGAAGTTCACGATTTGTTTGAGGTTAATTGATTTTGATTTCGCAAGCTTGGAGTCGGAGATCTGGATTGTGTTCGCATCTATAGAATGCGAGGAGAATTTAATGGTGATATTCAGTTCGCATTTGGTGACACAAGTACGTGGTTGATGATTTTTGGTTGGTTCGCATTTGAAATCAGTGGGTTTCGCATTTGGGTTCGTATCTGGGTTTCTCAAACAACTGAAATGCGAATATGAGACAACTGATTAATTTCTCAGTTAATGCGATGAAATGCGAATGAACTCAAAGACGGATGGATGCAAGATGCGAAGAATTTGAATGAAAATGCGAAGTTTTTAATGTATAAATGCGAATTGGGGAAGAAAGCTTAGAGTTTCGCATTTGGCACCTGATCTTTTCAAGAAATAATATAAGTGGTCCAACTTCGCAAAATGGGGTCATTTAATCAGAAAATCGATCATTCTTCAAATATGACATTTAATCAGAAAATCGATCTAAAAATGAGACATTTGGTGTTTATCGATTTTTCAGGGTCGACGGGTTGTATGAAAAGCGAAGGCTGAGTAATTGAAAATTAGAGGATCGATGGTTGCTACTAATTGCTTGTAACTGGTATTGGTTTCATATCGATGGATGTGGATTCGCATATGAAATCAATTGTGTTCGCATCTATGAAATCAGTTCGCATATGACATCAATTGAGTTCGCATTTGGTTTTGTGGGTCAAAACAGTTCGCATAAGAAGTTCACGATTTGTTTGAGGTTAATTGATTTTGATTTCGCAAGCTTGGAGTCGGAGATCTGGATTGTGTTCGCATCTATAGAATGCGAGGAGAATTTAATGGTGATATTCAGTTCGCATTTGGTGACACAAGTACGTGGTTGATGATTTTTGGTTGGTTCGCATTTGAAATCAGTGGGTTTCGCATTTGGGTTCGTATCTGGGTTTCTCAAACAACTGAAATGCGAATATGAGACAACTGATTAATTTCTCAGTTAATGCGATGAAATGCGAATGAACTCAAAGACGGATGGATGCAAGATGCGAAGAATTTGAATGAAAATGCGAAGTTTTTAATGTATAAATGCGAATTGGGGAAGAAAGCTTAGAGTTTCGCATTTGGCACCTGATCTTTTCAAGAAATAATATAAGTGGTCCAACTTCGCAAAATGGGGTCATTTAATCAGAAAATCGATCATTCTTCAAATATGACATTTAATCAGAAAATCGATCTAAAAATGAGACATTTGGTGTTTATCGATTTTTCAGGGTCGACGGGTTGTATGAAAAGCGAAGGCTGAGTAATTGAAAATTAGAGGATCGATGGTTGCTACTAATTACTTGTAACTGGTATTGGTTTCATATCGATGGATGTGGATTCGCATATGAAATCAATTGTGTTCGCATCTATGAAATCAGTTCGCATATGACATCAATTGAGTTCGCATTTGGTTTTGTGGGTCAAAACAGTTCGCATAAGAAGTTCACGATTTGTTTGAGGTTAATTGATTTTGATTTCGCAAGCTTGGAGTCGGAGATCTGGATTGTGTTCGCATCTATAGAATGCGAGGAGAATTTAATGGTGATATTCAGTTCGCATTTGGTGACACAAGTACGTGGTTGATGATTTTTGGTTGGTTCGCATTTGAAATCAGTGGGTTTCGCATTTGGGTTCGTATCTGGGTTTCTCAAACAACTGAAATGCGAATATGAGACAACTGATTAATTTCTCAGTTAATGCGATGAAATGCGAATGAACTCAAAGACGGATGGATGCAAGATGCGAAGAATTTGAATGAAAATGCGAAGTTTTTAATGTATAAATGCGAATTGGGGAAGAAAGCTTAGAGTTTCGCATATAAATGAAAGTACGATGCTATTCCTTGTATTTAGTTGTTTTCAATGCAAAGAATAAGATAAAATGGAAGTACGGTATTAGCTAATCTGCAATTGCATTCAAATATTAAGAATATTGATAATACCAAATGTGCAATTTGGGTTAAAAAAAACTTAACTTGAGCTTGTAAGGGGAGATAATTCTCTAGAATAAAATCACTCTTTCTTTTAATCGTGAGAATCACAATCAGTTGAACTGTTGAAGAGATGAAGTAACAGGTCGTGCTTCGAAAAAATGAGAGAGTGGACATCAAATGAAAAAATTATCCAAAACCTATAAATCAGATAAACTAAAACAACTTAAAAAAATAATAAAATTCTTACAATCCAAAAACAAAACCAAGATGAATTAAACACAATAATCATAGTCAAGTTTTGAAATATATTGAATTAACTTGAACCAATATTCTGCACATTGGGTGTTAGGCAATATACTCCTGCAAAAAATAATGTAAAACAAGCTCATAAATTGTGAATAAAATAAACAACTAACCCTAAAACTGGTTGGAAATAGTGTGTGCTGATCTCATCAAATAATCTGGCATTTATGAATAGCTCTAAATAATCTTAAACAACATAGGTGAGTGTAAGAATCGATATATCCATGAAACACAGAGTAAAATCATTATATGACAATTAAGTAAAACTAAAAAAAACATGGAACAGAGAATTTGATAGAACTATTTACCTGGATAGTGGTGAAGATGGAGATGGTTAGTGAAGGCTTCAACGTTGGGGTTTAATTAGAGTGTGAATACAAAGATAGGGGAGAAGACAAAGATGGTAGACGATGGTGGTGAGGTCATGATAACAGTTCGATTTCTGTGATTTTCACCCAATTCATAACAAAAATTGTTATTTTTCTTGAAAACAAACATTAATTAAATGGATAAGGATTCAACAACTACAGTAAAATGATAGAGTAATAAGATATTTCCTTCATTAACTGGAGTCCATATCAGTACAGATAGTTGAAGATATACCTGAATTGATACAGATAGTTGAGAAATGTCAAAAGGACACAAATACCCTTAGTACCACTTAAACAAGAAAGCTTTACTCTAGATACACTTATACAAGAATATTTAATATACAAATGATTACCCAAAATGTAGACAAACATCAGAACCTGAAATGGAGAGGAAACACCGGAAATTGAGAGTAAACATTGACGATTATGTGATAAATGACTGAAAAGAACACTTTAAAATTGCTAACAAAAACCTGTATTGTTAGAGAACGTTTGTAAATTAATAGTGTTTGCCTCCTGGTTCTGCAATAGAGAGAGAGAGAGAGAGAGAGAGAGAGATGGTTGGAGACCTATGACCACAAAAAGAGAATATGTGTGTGCATATGGCTTAAAGAGCACTAACCTTGAAATCGTGTTGGATCCTGGTCCACTGTGACACTTGTTGTGAAAATGGTTGTCTGAGGTTTCTAGAGAGTCGAGTGCGACCAGCTGTGAGTAGTAGATGGTTAGGTCTCCAGGTATGTGTGTAAAATGCGTAACACTTACGACCTCACAGATAAGAAATTTTTTGCAGTCAATTGGTCATATAAGGGGATGGGGCAGAGATATGAAGAAAAAGATTCGTTCTAGACTTGACCGGTGCAATCGATCAAAATCAAATAATTAGAGAATAGAACAGTAGCATATGCTAGATGTCGAGAGATGGGGGTTGTGAACGGTGGTAAGATGAAGTGCGATGATGATGAAGGTGGCCTGTTTGATGGTAGTGAAGGTTATGTGACAACAAAGTTTACTGATGGTGTTGTGATGTTCGATATTCGGGTTTCTAAAGGAGATATGCAAGAGAAGAGAAAGGCAGAGGTGTTTAGCAGCGACTGTAATGGTCTCAGTGGTCAAGGTGTGGTGGGTAACTGCGTCGAATATGGGAGGAATTTTAGAGTATTTAATAGAGAGGGAGAGAGTTCAAGGAGAGAAGAGATGGCGACTCATCTAGGGTTATTCTACAAGGAAGGGCTATAGATACTAAGATAAGAGATGATATATAAAGTTTATCTATAGACCGATTCAATTGGCAAAATCTGAGGAAGACGGGTTCTTCTTTGACCAGTTCAATTTGAAGAAGAAAGCCAAAGCCTATGTACGTAATTCATGTTAACCGCGTAAGATTTGGTATTTTTCTATGCATAAACTCATTGTAAATAGCGTAATAAGGGTTATACTTAAAAAATATTATTATTATATTGAATCTATTTATGGAAATAGTTGGATTTCTATTATAAGGTAGTATAGATATATAAATAATAAAAGTTATAAATTGATATTTCTTTTTTTAGAGTGTTTGGATTAAGACAAAATATAAAAAATACAAACATACATATTTAAGTCTATTTAGTATACAAACATATCATCTCTAATAAATGAATGTTATTTTGGCCACTTATCACACTCTCATTCAATTGCCAAATATCATTTTGTAGTTATTTTGAATTATTTTTTTTTAATTTTCACATGTTATTTTATAAGTTTTTATAGTTTATTAAATTCCACATGTAATAATTGCAATAAATGTACTAATAAATGAATATCAATTTAATTAATGAACTTAATTTTTAATTTAAAATTTCATAAAACTAAAACTCATTAATTTCTTTTATTTATTTAAATTATTTGCTTAAATTTAAACGATAAAAGCATTTTTTTTATAATAATTTTATTATTTCTATAAATTCAAAGTTTTTAAATATTTTGAAATTTATATTTAATTTTTTTTAAATTAACCTTTGGTATACAACGAAAAACAAAAAAGGATCTCCTTATTATTTTCTTTTTAAGTTAACAAGAAAATTTCACTTTTAAAACTAGTAAAAACCTATTTTAGAAAATACTTATTAACTTTTCAAACATTTTTTGATAATTTTTTTTTAAAACTAAAAAATCAATAAATATTTTTCAAATTAAATCTCAAAACACCCTCTCAAATAAAAATATAAAATCATCTGCTATATTGCAAATAGCTTTTGTGATATTGATTTATTTATTTTTCATTTCGCGATAAACATATATCCTGTTCAAACCAGTCTTTCTCCACTCCACTTTGCCCTACTCCCCCGTTTCCCCCTTCTCAGCTGAGCCTGTGCTATCAGTCAAAGCTCTCTCTCTTTCTCTCAGGTATGTGGCACAAACTCATCTCTCCCACGAACAAACCTTGTAAGAATTTGATTCTGAGCCCTACGTTTACTTGTAGATTTTGTCCCCTAATGTTGCGTCATCGATGATGTAGAATCTCATTTTGAGGACCTGAATCATCTCATCCCCGTGTATCTTCTATATCTTTATTTGATTTGAACATGCATTGAATTGCCAAGTCTTGTTATCTGATATGGATGTGACATGCATCCTGACAAAATCGAGCAGATGCATTTCTAGTATTCCGTGATGAATGGATTTAAGTTGTCTGAGTTCACACGCTGTTTTCAAATAAGTTTTTTTGAAATGAAACTGCTATGCATGCTGTTTGCGAATTGGAGGCATCAACGTCAGTGTAGTGGTGTTGTTGTACCTGTTACTCCGTCTGTGAAAGAAGGAGACTATTCCTTTTCAAAGTTAAGATTTATAGTTCAAATCCTGTATGGATCTTCCTTTGAAATTACATTTATGTCAATTTTGAGTCTAAAACGAAGCTTTCTGAACATTCAGAAGTTGAAATGTGGATTTCTTTTAAGATGGATGTGTGGAGTTTAGTACAGATATTATCCAAAATCGTAGTGTAGCTTCTTTTCTTAACAAATGGCATTTTCTTATCTGTGTCTAGTGTTACACTTGTCCTCTTGATTATTATCAAGATTCAATCCCCCTTTTTCCCACCATTTTCTTTATTTACTTCACATTTTTCTTTAGGTGCTTTATTTCCTATGGCGTTTGCAAATTTTCATGGACTTAGAGCTCTGCAAATTTCTTCACGAGAAAGCATTTTCAACCATGGAAGCTGCCACACACGAACTGATACATCCAACAGTAGATGTTTTGCTGTCAAGGCTTGCAGTAAGAAACCTGATCAAAACATTCATCTTGAATCTAAGGTAAATTTATATGAAGCTCTCTACTTCATCATACTTTTCTGTGATTACAGATTCTCGTATCCTAGCTGTTTTCTGCATATTTAACATTATCTCAATTTGATCTGAAGGTCTATATAGTTGTATATTGAGTATTGAATGTTTAATTGCAAATTTGCAATGTAGATTAACATGTTCTCCTCAAATTTCATCATTGAATGGCCAATAACCAAAAGGGGTAGTGAATTAGTAATAAATTCGTTATTTCATTTTGTCTATATGGATAACCTTCTTTTCTCCTATAAACAAAGACCTTTTTTGATTTAACAAAGAACATTCTCTATATATGAGTTTATTTACCAATTTTCTCTTACAAACATCTACTTAGTGATACATCCCTCAAAAAATTGCAACATATGGTTCAAATGAAGTTTTCAGCTTTTATCAAATGTCCCAAATACCCTTTATAAACCCCACCAATTGTAAAGTTACCAATGTGCAAATTTTACAAGAAAACATTCGAATTCAAAATGGATTTTTTACAATTCAAAGAGAATGGAGAGAGAGAGAGAGTAGATATTGTTATTACTTATCACTTATTACTTATTACTTATTACTTCCCTTAGCTAACTTATTTGCATGCAATATACAAGAACGTTGTTTAACTATCGTCAAATGTCTAAACTACCCTTCAACGAAATACAAAATAGGTTCAACTATTATATCTTTTTAAGCATTAAGATGTTTGTCATCTTGTTGATGTTATGTTAGGTATTTGAAACTTTTGAAGTTATTATATGATGTTATATACTCCTATAAAAAGCATGAAATTAAAGTTATGTTAACAAAAGCAATTTCAGTTAAATTGGGTGTTGGACAGTGTGAAATGGGATGAAAAGGGTTTGGCTGTGGCTATAGCTCAAAATGTTGATTCAGGGGCAATTTTAATGCAAGGATTTGCCAATAGGGATGCACTTGCTACCACAATTGCTTCCAAAAAAGCAACTTTTTATAGCAGATCAAGATCTTCATTGTGGATAAAAGGAGAAACTTCTCTTAATTTCATCAATGTTCATGATATCTTCCTTGATTGTGATCGTGATTCTGTAAGTTCTTTTCTTTCAATGCATGTAATAGTAATCTACTTTCTTTAATTCGTTTGTTTGTTACTATAAGTTTATAACATCTTACTTTTGTTTCTTTCTTTCTTTTACTTGGAAAATTTTATGCAGTTATATAAATTTCATTCAAATATAAAGCAGTTTTCAGTGTTGTTATAATTGGATAGATCTTTCAAAGTATAATGTCTTATAAGAAGTTTCTTTAACTTGTAATGGTCAACATAAAAGACCCTATGCTTTGTTTTTTTTTTTTCCGGATTAAACCTTAACTGATTTTTTTTTTTTTTTTCTAAAAAAGCCTTGCATTTTTCCTTTTTTTTTTTTTTTTTTTTTTTTGATTTGGCCCTTTTGGGTTTTAGAGAAAAACATATTCTAGAAAAACTGTCATTTTTTTTTTTTTGAAAGAACTCATTTCAGAAAAAACCCTCACATTTGACAAAAAATATTGGGTTAATCTCAAAAATGACCTTATATTAAAAGATGAATGAATGATTCAATCCCTTCCCACTCACACGGTTTCTTCTATTGAAGACGTTTTGTGTTTTTTTTTTCTGGATTAAACCTCAAATTAATTTTTTGCTTGAAAAAAACTTTGTATTTTTTCATTTTTCCTGATTTGGCCTTTTAGTCATTTTTCGCTGATTGTTTTTTTTGTAAAATGTGAGGGTTTTTTTTGGGAAAAACTAAAAAAGTTGAGGGTTTAGTTGGAAGCATTTAGAAGGTTGAAGGTTTTTTACAGAAAAAAACTACAAAGTTGAGGGCTTTTTCAGATAAAATAAAAAAATACAAGGTCTTTTTCAGGCAAAAAATAACTTCGAGGCTTAATCCGGAAAAAACACAAAATATATAAGTTTTTTTTTTGAGATTAACCCAAAAATATTTTTGAAAAAAAGGCTTTTTTCAGAAAAAGGTAAAAATCTGAGGGTTTTTCCCGAAAAAAAAAGTTGAGGGTTTTTTCCTGGAAAATTTTATCTAAGACTTGAAGATTACCAGTAAAAGGGCCAAATGTAAAAATTGGAAAAATGCAAGGGCTTTTTTAAGAAAAAAAATAAAGTTAAGGTTTAATCATGAAAAAACCCCAAAACACAGGGTCTTTTATGATATTAAACCCAAAGTACACTTCCATAACTATTAAAAATTTTCAAAGTAAAATACATTGATTAAAAAAAAAAACTGGAACTATAATTCTACAGTAGAAAAAGAAACAAAAACAGGATGCTATAATATTCTTTTATTAGCCTTTTTTATAAAAAAAAATGTTAATAAAGTATATATAATAAATAACATTAATTTCAGATTATATATCTTGGAAAACCCGATGGGCCCACTTGTCACACTGGAGCTGAAACTTGCTATTACACATCCGTTTTTGATGCCTTAGATCATCAACCACAGGTCATTCCCATTTTCACTTCTTCTTTTTTTTTTTTTTTACCCTTTAGTAGCAATTCCTTTTATTTAATTTTTAATTTTTGATTACTTTAAGGTTGAAGAAAATAATAAACTGGCATTGACAACATTGTACTCATTGGAATCCACACTTTCTAGAAGAAAGGAAGAACTTTCATCTCCTCAACAAGGCAAACCATCTTGGACAAAACGCTTGTTGCTTGATGACAAACTATTATGCAAAAAGATCCGGTATGTATATATATGCTCATTTTCATTAGAAAAATATATATACTATTACTCACCCATGTAAAATGACTATTTTGCCCTTAGGGAAGAAGCAGATGAGCTTTGCAGAACACTAGAGGAAAACGAGGATGAATCACGAAGTGTGTCAGAGATGGCAGACGTGTTGTATCATGAAATGGTGTTGTTAATTCGCAGAGGATTAAAATTTGAAGATGTTCTTGAGGTTCTTAGATGCAGATTTACACAATCAGGGATTGAAGAAAAAAATAACCGAAAACCAAAAATCATCAACTGATCTTTTATCTTCTGATTCATATTAATTGCTGCATTTTGTAGCTTAAATGTATTTGATGTTTTTCTTTAAATTTTAAGATTGTTATAAGATTTGGAATTAAGTTGATCGAACTTGTGTTTTAATTAGGCTTTGTTTGGAAAAACTAGTTGGTAGCTGAAGATTTGATGTTTTTCTTGTTTTTGTGAAAAGACTATTTTATTATGATTGGAGGGTGTGAAATGACAATTTTGGATTGTCGATTTCGTTCTCTTGATGATTTTATTGTGAATCAATAATGATATCATGTTTTTTGTATTTGATTGTGAGGTTTTAAGATAAGAGTGGTATTGATATAAGAGAAATTTCATCAAATAACCATTTATAAGGGGTTGTTTTAACGATTTAACCATGAAAATCAAAGTTTTGTAGAATGACCATAGGATCCGCACGGGGTGCTTTGCGGATCGACTAAAGCCTCTGAAGAACCGGAACATCTCTGCGGATTGAGTTTTTTAATTTTTTTTTTCTTTCGTTTTTTTATTTTTGTTTTCGCTTATTAATATTATTTTTTTAATATACTAATACCTTATGTGATTATTATGTAAAAAATTTAATAAAAAAAAGTTAAACATAATGAACTTATGTTTAATATCAGTCCACAGAACTGTTTGGGAATCCATAGAACTATTATCAGCGGATCAGGATCAGTCTACACCTCTGCGGATCAGTGTATAAATTGTCATATCAGTTAAATACTATTTGAGAATCCACATGTTTGCACTTTTCCGCAATGACGTTTAGTGAGAGCCCGAGATGACTCTGTATCTGTTTTTTTTTTTTTTTTCCAGCCTATTGTAATTCTTGCAAAGTATCATGAGACACATATTGCCCTTTGATGTTTGGTGACGGTGCATCAAAATGGTCAATCGGATCACAATAGTAACAATCAACTTCATTGCAAGAGCAAATATAGAAGTTTGAAGATGAACTCATATTAAAATTCTATATATTTTGTGTGTGGTTGTCCAATTTAAACTAAATCCATATTAATTACTCTGCATAACTGTTAGGAAATACGTATAACTATTTTCTGCAGATTGGTGTACACTTCTGTGGATCAGTTATAGAACTGTTTTCTGCGGATCAGTGTACACATCTGCATAACTGTTAAGGAATACGCAGAACTGTTTTCTACAAATCAGTGTACACCTTTGCAGATCAGTTATAGAAGTTATAGACATATTTAAGTGGTTTTTTGTGAGTTTGTTAGTTTCAATTACCAGTAGAAGTTGTTTTTTATTGTGTTTGTGGAGAGTGATTTGTAAAATGAGTTTTATTATTTTGTGTATGGGAGGGTCGTGGCAGTTAGTTAATGGAGATGAGGTTTACGCTAGAAATAATGTGAAAAACTATGGTTTAAATCTTCCTCTTAACATTGACCATGAAATGTAAGTACAAATTGTTAGAAGTAAGGCAGGTGTGTTAAATAGTCATATATGTTTGTTTTTTAAACACCCGGAGTTAGGGTATGTCATGGAGCTTGGAGATGAAACTGATGTATTTCAATTGAGACATGTAATGTCTGAATCAAAGAAGACGGTGCATTTTTATTTAACAGTGGTAGGTGAAGAAGCTGAAGAACAAGTAGTGGTTAACAACTAGTTTAATCCAGCAAAACGGTCGTAAAGAAAGCAATGTGATGGAAACCGTTCAAGGGGAAGAGGAAATGAAGTGCCAGTGGGTTATGAAAAAAAAGTTTCGGTTACTGATAAATTTGTATCTGATAATGATACTTTTGTATCAGATAATGATAAAGAAGCAAAAATGGGCATGGCTGAATTACAACGTCAAAATTTGTTTGAGTTTGGAAAAGTTCCTGAAATTGATGATCGAAGATGTGAGGAAAAATCAAATGAAGGGTGGTCGGATGATGAGTACATGCAACGAAAAACTGCTTTTAATCCATGGTATTGTATTCCTTCTATTCCTGATTGTCCAGAACCTATTCTTGAACCTGTACCATTTCACAGTTTAGGTCCGAATGATAAATTAATTGTCAATCAAACCTATAATACCAAAAAAGACCTAGCATTTGCTGATAAATTCAAAGTCGTTAGAGAAAAGTTTCAGATAAAGGTTGAAAAATCTTCAAAATCTCGGTATCAGGTTATTTGTATGCAAAAAAACTGTCATTGGTGTTTATACGCATCTCTCATTAAAGGAACATAAATGTTTGAAATTAAGACGTTTAATGACGAGCATACATGTTCTTCATTGCTTATACACCCAAATCATACACAAACAAATAGCGAAGTTATGGGAACCATAATACATGACATTATGGGTCAAGGAAGTTTGAGAGTTTGGAAGCCTAATGATATAATTAGAGATATGCATGCTTTGCTACAAATAAATATGAGTTACTCACAAGCGTGACATGCTTGAGAATTTGCTTTAGGATTGATGATGGGGATCCTTGAAGAAAAATTCTCCAAACTTCCAGTTTATTTTCACAATCTGAAGAAACATAATCCTTTTACTGTGGCGTACATAAAAACTGATTTGGAGGATCATTTTGAGTATTGCTTTTTCGCTATTGGATGCACGGTAATATATTTTTAAATATATTTGTTATTTTCTTAAATGTTTATAAACAAATTATATTGTTGATATATTAATGGTTTTTATACTGTTGTTGCAGATATGTGCTTTCAGAGAGTGTTGTAGAAAAGTTATTATTATGGATGGTGCTAATTTGAAGGAAAAATACAAAGGCAGCATCTTGCATGCAGTAACCATGGATAACAATAATCAGATATTACCTAATGGGTATGGAATTTTCCCAAAAGAGACTATGAATTCTTGGACATGGTTTCTTGAAAAACTACATGAACGCATCGGTGATGTGGAAGGTCTGGCAATGGTCACAGATAGGGCACCCGTAATTGCTGTAAGTATTCAAAATGTTTTCCCAAATGCTCAACATTGATTGTGTACTTTTCATCTAATAGGAAACATAGTCCACACCTTTGGAAAAAACAAAAAAACAACAATTTTGTTTTGCAAGCTGGTAAGAGCTTACAGAACCACTGAGTTTGAATTCTATTGGGGGAGACTTCGTAATATAAGAGATGATGTAGCAATATATCTCAGTCAAATTCCACGTGAGAAATGGACCAAAGCGTATTATCCTACCATGAGGTATGATTATATGACCTCAAATAGTGTGGAGTCCACGAATGTTGTATCAAATAAAGCAAGGAAGTTGCCTATATTACCACTTCTTGAGTTCTTTCACACACTTATGCAGAAATGGTTTTACAAACTACAGATGGATGCATGTATGATTATGTTTAATTTAAATTATATGATAGATGTCATATATAATAATATATGTTTGTTGTAACAGAAAAAAGTACATTAATACTTACGAAGTGGGCTGAAGATATGGTTAAAAAAAAATAAAGAGGAAATTCAAGGATGGTTGGTATCCGGTGTTGACAATACAACATATAAAGTGCATGATTTCAAAAGTGGCAACATAGTGAATTTGAGGGAAAAGACTTGTTTTTGAAAATATTGGCAACTAACTGGTTTGCCATGTGGTCATGTGATAATGGTTTTAAAACACTTGAAAAATGATCATTGTGGGCATATGGCTATAAATGCTTATAAAATCGAAACATATCGAAGAACGTACGAGCAGACCATATACCCTCTTTCATAACTTAATGATTGAGAGGATCTGGATGACCTTATGGTTGTTAACCCTCCTGTGACAGAAATACGGCAAGCCGGTAGACCAAAAAACACCAATCGTATTCCCTCTCAAGGTGAGGAACCAAAAATAAGAAGGTGTAGTAGATGTCATAACACAAATCATAATGCAAGGACATGTAAGGAAATCATTCCAGAACCAAAGTACAAGTAAAAAACGTACTGGGGCGTCAGGAAGTGGGACAAAAGCGACAAAAGAGGAACCGACGCAAGCGACCTAAAACCAATGGCAACATGAGCTAGAGAACCAATGGATGCAATGAACAACAATGGCGGCAACAGCCAGACAACCAATGGATACAATAGACCGAACATCAATGGCAGCAGCAGCCAGACAACCAATGGAAACAACAGAGAACATCAATGGCAGCAGGAGCTACATAACCAATAGACGCAAGGGACCGAATATCAATAGCAGGAAGAGCCACATAACCAATGGGAGGGTTGCACTGAGTACCAATGGCTGCAAGAGCCAGATAACCAATGGACGCAAGCGACAGTAAACCTAGGGACACAAGCAACAGAAAACCCATGGCCGGAATACGAAAACAGATCAAAGTTTTCGTGGTTCGATTTGAATGAATGAAGTTTATTTCAAAGTATGTTTATTATGAAGGTTGTATGTTTATGTTTTCTGAAGTATATTTTGTAACCTACTTAAAGTATGTTTATTATTCAGAATACCGGTGTGTGTAATTTTATAAAAAACATGGAATCTTTGTATAATTTTAACACACAAATTTTTTAAACAGGTAATTAAATAAGAAAAAGGACTGACAAATAGCTTTGTGGATTACCAAACAACTCTGCGGATTCCGTAACAGTTATGAGGATTCCCAAATAGTTCTGCGGAATAAGTAATATAAAATCACTTTACCATGCGTATCATTTCATCGATTCTATACCATTTCTTCTTCATTTCATTTTTTTGAAAAATTAACCCTTATATTTTCCCTCATAATGGCTTCCATACCATGGAGCGTTGAGGGTAACCTCCGTCTAACTCGTGCATACATTAATATCCACGAGACCACTAGGGTGAATGATCCAAGTTATTGGACCCGTTTAACTTATACCTTCAATGCTGACCCTCATACTACCCCAGAAAACTACCGCAACACCGTTGACATCACAAAAAATGGTATAAAACAGAAGTCTTGGTTTTCAACAATCTTTATACCAAAATTGATGACGTACGTCCGAATGAAGATGAGGAAGTCATCCTGGACGCGGCAAAAGTGGAATACATATCCATTAGTGACGGGTTAGAATTCGAGTTTGAAGGCCCTTGAAATCTCTTAAAAGATCTCCCGTATTTTTAATTTGTATTGCGTTTGTAGAAGGATATTTTAATGTAGTTTGTTTTTATTAGGTTATTTATATGCACCAGTTTTGTATTACGTTATTTATATGTATTTGGTTTGTATTAGGTTATTTACGGAACCAGATGAGTTAACTTCTACTTTATTCCATAGAACATAAAATACAAAATAATACAAATACATGTTTATTCCATAGAACATAAAATACAAAATAATACAAATACATGGAAAACATACATCCGTAGCAAATATATTACATAAAACATTTCACATAAAAAACCCTTTGACATGAAATACTAGTGGTTTTTAACCAGATTCCAAGCATCCACATACTACAAGAGCTTCCTCGTTTGAGTAATAATAATTATTACTATTTTTAAGAGGATGATACTATCGATTGGACCATGTGATTTCGTTCTTTAACTCCATCCACCTACTAAGAATATCTACTTGTACCCGATATTCTCCTTATCTAAATGAGAGGTTGAACATACCTGTTATGCGAGTCCATTCATCACCTCCAAGGTAATCAGGGGTAACCATTGTTGTTACACCTTCAAAAATGTTCAACCGACATCGTATTATAATCATCACCTCTCTTGTCGTCCATGAACGTGGAGTATCGGACGACGATGTTACATTCGTAGAAGTTGGTGCATTGGAGACCATTTATATATTTTTCAATACCGGGGTGAGTTGATACAATATTTAACGGGTATGACAATTTATACACTGATCCGTAGAGGTGTAGACTGATCTGCTGATAACAGTTCTGTGGATTTCCAAACAGTTCTGTGGGCTAATATTAAATATAAGTTCATTATTTTTAACCTTTTTTTGTCAAGTTTTTTACATAATAATCACATAAGATATTAGTGTATTAAAAAAAATTAATATTAATAAACGAAAACAAAAATAAAAAAACAAAAAAAACGAAAAAAAAATTAAAAAACCCAAGATCCACAGAGGTGTTCCGGTTCCTCAGAGGCTTTACTCGATCCGCAGAGCACCCTCTGCGGATCCTATGGTCATTTTACAAAACTTCGATTTTCATGGTTAAATCGTTAAAGCAACCCCTATAAATGATTATTTGACGAAGTTTCTGTAGATATGATCCGGAATTGTTTTGAATGATTGTGTTGTGTACTGGGTTAGGTTATACGATTGGACATAATGGGTTAGGTTATACGATTGGACATAACGATGAGTGATAATAATTTGAGAAACTACAAAAGTAAACAAACATAGGTAAAAAAGAAAAATTCTTATTTATTTATTCTTTTTTTCTTTTTTAGATTGAGAAAACATTTTGAATGATATAGATGAAGAGGAGTACAATAAGATTGGTTGAATATAATATATTTTTTTTATGAAGTTGAGGGTTTAAACCAGTTTAAAAATAGATGAAAATTTTGGAGTATATTAAAATGTGTGATCGCCATTTTTAGAAATATCGGGCCATAAAGCATATTTGCAGGCCCATTATGCCATAATGTCATGTGAAAATGAGAAAATGAGTGTTCACCCAATTTTTAGTGTTTAAATACGTTTTTGGCTATCTTTCATTTTCCATTTTCCATTTTGCTTCAACAAGGGCTTTTGCCCATTTTTGTAGTGTTTTTTTTTCATAGGTCATATCTGTGAAAAAACCAGAAGTTACCGACGAATTACCCATTTGTGGTATTTTCGCATGACATTTTTGGTAATTTCGTAGGGAATACTTACGATTATACCAAAAGTTACCTGTAAATATAACTATAAATATGTACTTTTTTTTTTTAAATGGGCAAGTTTTTATAACAAAAATAAGCATATGTTTGTTTTAATTTTTGTTTTTTTTTTTTTTCAAGGTTAGAATATGCACGACTTTGTCATCTTGATCATTACAATTTGAAGTGATATGCGTTTGAAGTTAGACAACACGGTCTTGTTAACAATACAACAATGGAGCTCATTACTTATTTAAACATGCACAAGAGATATTTGGACGAATCAAATTCTCATTACCAACCCCAGGAGAAGCCGATGAGCGTTGACAAATAGCGGTTTATCATATCATAATGTTGTTGATTATAATGCCTAAATAAATATTAGAGGTTCTCAAGTTAATGTAAATAATCGAAGAATCACATGTACCAAAGTCCACAACTTCAAGAGCAAATTTTATTGATTTTTATTATTTTGTTAGACCAAGAAAATGTTATTTTATTAAAAACATACATTTTTTGAAATATTTCGAATTTTATCCTTTAGATGGAGGGTGTTGACGACAGGCTGACATAAAGGGACCACAATACTATCAGTACCGTCGGGATGATGATTTCGTCGAGCATTTGTATAGCTAGAAGACGCTCCTTGCGGATTGTTGAACCTGTTGTCCCCCCCCCCCCTCCCCCCTCTCTCTCTCTCTCTCTCTCTCTCTCTATATATATATATATATATATATATATATATATATATATATATATATATATATGGATTTTCTATACTCTTTGCGCTTGGTAAGTTGTACCCCATGCTTTAAAACTTGTACCAAATTGTGTTTGCATGTTTTTAATTAGTTTTATAGAAAATTTATCAAAGATAGAAAAACCTCTCACAACACTTATACAGAAAGATACGAAGTTCAAATGGAAAGAACAACAAGAATCTGTGTTTCAGAAGTTGAAACACTTGTTGTGTAGTGCGCCAATTCTTTCACTTCCAGAAGGAACCGAAGATTTTGTTGTTTATTGCGACACATCACATTAGGGCATAGGATGCGTACTTATTCAAAGAGATAAAGTGATTGTTTATGCCTCACCCCAACTCAAGACTCATGAAAATAATTACACCACCCATGACATGGAATTGGGAGCTGTGATTTTCATCTTAAAGATTTGGCGACACTACTTGTATGGCACGAAGTGTGTCATATACACAGACCACAAAATTCTTCAACACATCTTCAACCAAAAAGAACTCAACATGAGATAACGAAGATGGCTTGAGCTGCTGAATGACTACGAGTGTGAGATTCGAAACCACCCGGGCAAAGCTAATGTAGTAGCCGATGCCCTAAGTAGAAAGGAACGAGTCAAATCTCGCTGAGTGAAAACGCTCACTCTAACAATTCAATTGAACCTTCCTACCCAAATTCGAGAAGCTCAAGTAGAAGTACTTAAAGAAGAAAACAATACAGAAGAATGCTTACGAGGCATGGAGAAACAATTCGAGTCCAAGGAAGATGGAATTTTGTGTTTCATGGAACGAATTTGGGTACCAAAATTTGGCGACATTAGGAGCCTAGTAATGGACGAAGCTCACAGGACAAGATACTCAGTTCACCCATGACCTGATAAGATGTATATTGACTTAAAGAAAAGGTATCAGTGGCCTAACTTGAAGGAAAAAATCACTAACTATGTGAGAAAGTGTTTGACCTGCGCCAAGGTCAAGGCAGAATAACAGAAACCATCGGGTTTACTGCAACAACCCAAAATACCCGAGTTATAAGATTTGTAATTAAGATGATCAAACTTGTGTTTTATTTAAAGGCTTTGTTCGGCATGCTAGCTGAAAAACTAGCTGTTAGCTGAAGTGAAACATCCCAAAAATATGGTCTAAAATTTTTGTTTTTAATTATTAATAAAACCATAGTTATCAAATCATCACATAAAAGTCATAAGTCATTGTTTCTCAAAACATCATAAACATCTGTCAAACATATCAGAGAAAAACATCACAGGCAAAAATCATGGTGTGTGCATTGCATTCATCCCGAACTTTTCCCTTTGCTACTAGAAGTACCTGAAACCAAAACTGAAAACTGTAAGCACGAAGCTTAGTGGCTCTCCCTAAACTACCACATAACATAAACATAATCACATAATCACATAATAACATAACATGGGCCATGCTTGCTACATCGGCCTCGCTCGGCATCGGACAAGTCCGACATCGAGCCTCGCTTGGCATCAGACTGAAATCCAGCATCGGGTCCTAGCCGACATCGAGCAAAGCTAGATATACATATAAGCATATCAATTAATCACATAACATAAACATATAAACATTCTTCGGGCCCCGCCCGACATTGGACCGAAATCCGGAAGCATACAAACATTCCTCGGGCTTTCCCCGATATCGGACTGAAGTCCGGAAACATATAAAACAAACACATGCAAGAATCACGAAAACAT